GTTTGCAGACGCACGTCTTTCCTAGTAATACATCACCAAGATTGGTGATTAGATTAATTTTATTTATAAACAGTAAACACGTAGCTTACATCATACGTTTTCCAATAGGGCTTAAACAATTCCATAAACAATACCAAAAAAAATTTCATTGTACCAACTTTTGCCAGTGTTCGTAAACAATTTAATTCTATAATGATTTTAGTTTTAGTTCTGCGATCTGCGTCTATTCGTGTCAACTTTTCATCTTTGTTTACTGTTTTAACATTAAAATGTTTTAACAGTCAGTTAAAGAGTTATTTATCGGAATTTGGTGTCGACGTGTTTTCGACAGACGGTTAAGTCCTATACTGTAATTATTGTGATGTTAAAGTGGAATGTGAAAAACGATTTAATGTTACGCAATATTTAAATGATTTACCTATATATTTTATAAACATATCGCTTTAAAAAAAACCGTAAGAGTATATTTTTAGTGCATATTATAAAGTTTTTAATTGCATAAGTGCTTGCATAGTTAGTGTTTTTTAGAGCTACAAGTTCTCTGCTCTAGTGATAACTAATGTAATCACAATCATATTATTAAATATTAATCTTGAATTAACATAATAGCTGAACGTTGTTGTAATAACACTTGATTTAATGAAACAGTTTAAAAAAATAAATATAAATAAAAAAATAATTTTCGTTGAGATTTTTAGTTGCTAATCTAGCTGTTATAACTGCGATTACTCATAATGCGCACGCGTGTAATACGTTTATGGTTTATTAATCCTATTTCTATATCAAGGTATTAAGATAATGTTTTATCATGAAATACCGCGAAAACGCTATTTTGCTTTGTAATCGGATGACACATTTTACGATAGCTTTAATGGTCAAATAATAATAAAAAATATTGGTAACATGAGGAATGGACGGATATATTGTTTCTTCTTTAAAAATCAAATTTTACAAATACTCTCAATTCTAGGTAGTACAAGTCAGCACTAAAAATTTAATTCTAATTAAAAAATGGCCTGCGATAATTTATAATTATTGTTATTATTATTCGTGCCAACACGTCATTAAATATATTATTAATTATAGATTCGAATTGAACAAAAACGTTTTTGTATTTGTGACCTATAACACCATTATAATAATACCTATAAAGCGTACAGATTTGGGTAAAATACTTTTAAAAATTATTTAGAATAAATACTTGAATACTTTCAAAAAATAGTATTCCGAATATGTATTCAAATATTTTATACAAATTTTATTCCGAATACATTATTTAGAATACTTCAAAAGTATTCCGAATACTTTTAAAATACTTCTAGTTTTCATACTATAAAAATAATAGATGTCCACTCAACAGAAATATTTGAAATTGTAGACTAAATATATGTTATTTTATTGTATTTTTATATTAAATAACTGTTATAGTTTATGGTTTACAATAGTAATAAATACCTGATATTAGCTTATACAAGATACGACGGAGAAGTAATAAAATCATTTAAAAAACAGATTGACGGTATTCGAAATACAGTATTCAGAATACTCGTTATAAGTATTCAAAATGCTTTATTGAATACTTTCAAAAAAAGTATTTAAAAAGTATTCGAAATACTTAAAAAGTATTCGAAATACTTAAAAAGTATTCGGAATACTTAAAAAGTATTCGGAATACTACCCAAGTCTGGTATAGTAATATGGTAATTCAAAACTTAGCCAAAACATCTGCACATCAAAAATTTTTTGGGATTACGTGTATCTTATTGAAATTTTTAAGATAAATCTCATTATAAGGTACTGCAAGTTATGATACAAGTATATATTGGGAATGAGATTTAATAGTTGTATGCAAACGAGTTGTTGGTCTCCAGATAAAAAATTATGTACTGTGCGCAAACGAGTATCACCGTTTGAAGTGTGTCGCGATAAACCTTTAAATAATTTTATTAGTATATATTTACCAGCATTAATATCAACGTTCGTTGACGATTAATAAACATAAAGGTATACATAGAATCCAAACATCATCTGACCAAATTATGACTTTTGATCAAAAATTGATTGAAAAAAATGTAAAAAAAAAATTGACCCACGTTCCTTTCTATGAATTGAAAAGGGAGATGTTTACACCAATCTTGTACTATGCATATCTTATCATGTTACTGAAAGACAAAATTATAAAATTCTTTCTCAGCATAAATATTGAAGTATATTATTGGATACGGAATTCAGTGTATTTTTTAACGAGGTGATTGGTTTGATATTCGTCGAAGAAAACAATCTTGTCTTAGTGAATGGCCGAACATTAAACAAGAAATTTAAAGAAAAATCGATAACAACTTTTGTACATATGTCAGGCAGAATTTCCTGAAATAAATAATATATATATATATATATATATATATATAAATAATAATAATAATATATAAATAATAAACATTTTACTATCATTCTCCACAATGTATGTGTTCGGATGGGGATTCTCGGCAATCACAATAATGAAAAATAAAAAAATAGAACGACTTCAATCTGTAGAAGAAGAACTGAGAGTGAGTTTATTCGAATTAGAAGTACCACACGTTAAGCAAAAATATCTCATTGGCCAATGTATTTTAATTTCATTGCACAAATATTATGAATTAAGTAAATATTTTTTGTAACACATATTTTCATCATTCCATAAATTTATTTCACAATCTTTTAACGTAGAATAGACTGTAAATAGTGTCAAATTTAAAATTGAATTTATAATATATTGTATATGTTTTATTCATCATATAGATTGATGTATTGCAAAAATGTTGCAGGAGCGTACCAAATTGTAAAAAATGGTTGAAAACTACTGCTTTACATTGTAACGATATTCAGGGATATCAATTCGCAGCAATGTTTTTGATTGGTTTTATACAACAATATTTCGGATAAAATGATATTATTTTGAAATTAAATCCGGTTTTATATTTACTTGTAACAACATCCGCAAAAAAAAAACCGTTTATAAAGAAAAAACATGGATTTTTACTAAATATTCAGAAATATGGGTGTTGAAATTTTCAAGTTAACAAATATTATATTAAGAATCAAAATTCTACACAGAAACTTGCGAAATTTAATATTATGAAAATTTAAAGAATAAAGAATTAATCAATTTCTCGGAGCATTTTCTCCTCATTTTCTCAACAAACGCCACACCATAATATAATCCACACGATCTACGTATACGACTGGTACCGATTTTCAAATGTAATATAAGATTTAAACGTTGATACTAAATAATATGAAAAAAAAATTGATTTAGTAAATCAATGTTTCGGAAAAATCAAGTTTTTTTTTCTTTTGTAATCCTAATACAACAATCTGATTCTCTAACCCAGGGATGGCAAACCTTTTGAACACTACGTGCCCAAAATTACCTTTTTTTTTTTTTTTATAGAGCGTACCATGAAAAAAATATTAAAAATATTATATTTTGTTATAATATAATTTTATTGTATAATTAATTTATTAGTACAAAAAGGTTAGTTTAGGTACATAATAATAATAATAATTATAATAATATTGCTTTGTTAATCATTTATATTATATTATATTATAGATCCTATAATATTATATATTATATAATATATAATAGTAAAACTTTTCGCGTGCCATGGATTTGCCATTTCTGTTCTAACCTAACCTTGACGTTGATTATAAGCAAAATTCGACCATATTCAAATCATTACTTGTACCTCGTGAGAGCCGCGATTCATGCGGTACCGTTTACAACTCTTCGTATTGTTACATTCGTATTATTACGCGATATTGTATTCAACGACCAGCGTACTGTATGTTAATCACAAGTCGAGCACACTTGTTGGGGCGACCTATGGCATATCGCTCGCGTCGGAAACGGTCGCGCTGACGTGCATGAGATCTTATACCCAATACAATACAATACATTATCTTGCGCAGTGTTCGTATGTAATTCGTATGCAATTATGTTATATCGCAAATCGTAGGTTCAATTAATTTCCGTAATCGTAAGTATAATGCGTTATAATTGTACGTAAGTCAAATGTCGAACGTCATAGCCGCGATTAGAGCACAACAATTGTCATCGGTTATCAAGTACTCGCGCCTTGTTATTAATTATTGTTGTTATTTTCACTCGGTTCCATCTTGTGAACGATGTTCCAACAGCAGTGCTAATAACAGGGGCGGCTCCAGAGCCTTGGTTAGGGGAGGGGCGCAAGTTATAATTTTACAAAATCTTATAACAAAAAGAAAACAACAATTTTTACAACACAAATTCAAGTCGTCTATTTTTAAAATTGGCAAAAATATCAATAATATGATATTTAATATATCTATTTGATCTAGAATATCTACTTTATGATACATATTAATTAGACATAATGCTGATAGTCTATCTTCAGTCTTCATTGAACGAAGATAGGTTTTTAGTCTCCGAAGTGTGGAGAAACTTCTTTCAACCGTCATACCTCTATGGCTCTATCTACATACTTGTGCGTGTCGTAAGATAGTACACATTATAATATGCATTTTTTGTTAACAATATACATTTTTTTATTAATATGGTACGGGATTGGAAGGGGGCCGCAACCCCTAGGCCCCCCCCTGGAGCCACCCCTAAATAGTACACACAAACAAGGCACCGTACTCGGTACGTTATGGATTTCGTACACACTCGCGACGGTTCGTAAATCTTTGTCACCGTCGACCTAGTCATCCAATTCAGCGGGATCAGAACCTCCTTCGAGGTCTTTTTTTAAATGTTATGGAATAATGTTCTTAGCGCGAGGGCGTTAGAACCGTAAAAAAAAAAAAAATAATGATTTGTTTGCGAATGATCCCCGTCCCCCATACAAAAGTTATGTATACGCCACTGATCCGAGTATTAACAACAACAACAACAACCTTATCACCGCCGCCGTCGTCGTCATCAAAGCGACACACCGCCGGCGGCAGTGGCGGCAACAGTGGCAGCGCGATGATAGCTGTGGCGGCAGTAGTCGCAGCAGTATTGGCCGGCGCGCGCGTTCATGTGTTCACGGCGTACGTACACGCACACGCACACGCGCACGCACACGGCATATATACGCACGCGCACACTTCCGAGTGCCATCGAAGACGTGTTCGATCGTTTCTACCGACCGTTTCGGGAACACAAACTTAACGTTCATCGTGCCGCGCGCGCGCAACACCTATTACTCCCGTAAACCTTCGGTTTTTCCCACCACACACAGGACACCGTGGGAAAAGGATTCGAAATAGGATTCATCTGCCGGATGTAGTCGTATGGACCGGTGGTGAATCCGTTTACCGCCGTCGACCACCTGTGGCGCGCGCGTTTCCACCCCGGAACTCACGATAACACCGGTGTGCTGCCGAGGGTCTGCTGGCCGTTCAACTTTCTCATGCCAGTCCAAAGTCGCAGACAGCCGTCGTCATGAGAGGTACGTCACGAGAATACTTTTATCGACCCCTGTAATGATAATTACCGTACATAAATAATTGTAACCATTTAATATTGTGGTAATCGTGAACTGTAAAAAACGCTGTTTACGCAGCAAACAAATAGCGTTAATAGTATTTATTTATTTATTTATTTATTTTTTATTGAGGTAGTCGTCCACATAACTGTCGTCACCGGAAAAACTTATCGAAACGTTTTCACAGAAAACGTAATATATTCATAGCCTTTAATCCTTGAACTCTATACACCTGTACATGGGTTTTAATAAATATGCTAGTGTAGACGAATACGCCACTGTTCACGTTTTCTACACGTTAATCGTGTACGCACAACGCCTATAATAATTTTAATGTATATAGATAGAACCACGGTGTTTCGCCGTGAGCTTTGCGATGGATCTGAGACTTTAGAGAAGTTGGCCGTTCGCCACAAAAACGCATGTGTCGCGCCAAAAACACATGTGCTCCACCGAAAAACGCTCCTTCGAATTCGACGACACATACAATTATATTGTTTGCTGTTCTCTCTTCGCGCCTTTCCTCTAACTCTTTCTCTCCCACACACTTTTTCTCCATACATCCGATTCCTACGTTCTATTTTCCGAGTTAAACATAAGAATTATGCACGTATATATAAATATAACGCGATAGATTTTAATAAAAAAAATCTGCGATTAAAATATTATGTCGACGTACTTAAACCGCTTGCGCATGGTGACGACATAGCTCTCGTCGAGATGATACACTTCATTGTCTGTTTAATATTATATTGAATTCGTTCTATATTTGGTATAATATTATCACTGCAGCGATAATATTCTGAATTGGTCTCATTTTAGCGAACTAACTCTAAAAGCTTGATAAATATTTTAGTTTTAATTATAAACACGTGTATATTTATTTGTATCCGTGCGTTTGAATCAAATAAAGAATTCGTGAATTCTTGTGTGGTCATAATTTTTATATATGCATGTACACACACACACACACACTATAGTGTACTGATATATCGAAAAATAAATTGAAAAATAGTGTTCTAATCGCTCCCCTCTCCTTATCGGATTATACTAAACTCTGGACTATCAGTATTATGTATATATCCCGTAAATTCGACCCTATGTACACACAAGCACAACATGTGGTGGACAGAACAATATTATATATATTATTTTATTTAAAACGTCACGTAGGAAAGATTTTTGGCGTTCTGGGACTTCAGAATACTACCATTAATTCATTTTTTGTAAATCAATGAATACATTCGACTGAATAGGTTACAGATTACAAGAAAGAACGAATGAACTATAAAATAAATTAATCACAGAAAGAAATGTATTGTACCAGTTGGCAGTTTTACAGTTTTAACATTTGAAATTGGATTGATAAACCATCTAAATAAACCTTATAATAAATACATTTATTTCGATCAATTCAGAAAGAGAGAAATATAACTTGATATCTATTTATGGGTGTTTCAAAAAGAACGCATGATTTAAATTTACTATAAATTAAATGTATTTCTTTAAAAAAAAAAAAATAACAAATATATCATTCTTTTCAGGAGAAGTTAAGGTTTAACAGAGAAAAACAATATCGGGCATATGGCTAATTCTTTCCATAAAATTTACCATCACTGGATAACACATTGCCCCATCAAGTTCGTTGAGGACACGACGAATTTCTTGCTTAAGTTCCAAGATATTTCAAACTTTGTTTTGGTAAACTCGTGAATTAGTGTATCCCTATAAGATAAAATCACATGGGGTCAAATCACAAGATTGAGGTGGATAGATTTGGCCACGCAATGAAATTAGTTTGTCCGGGAACTTCTCACGCAGCAGAGAGATTGTTTCACTTTAAGTGTAACAAGTTGCGCCGTCTTGTTGCAACTATACAAGAATACTTGCAGAGCTCAGTAATTTTCTTTTGCCTTATTTGGACAAAATGAATAACAAACATTTTTGGTTTTAACCTGTCACACAAAAAATGTTAGTCTTCAACTTGTCACGGAGAAACAATCACTCTGCTGTGTGAGAAGTTCTTGGACAGACTAATTTCGTTGAGTGGAGATCAAAGCTACCCACTTCGATCTTACTACTTGACGCCGTATGATTTTTCTTATAGGGATACACTAAGTCACGAGTTTACCAGAACAAAGTTTGAAATGTCATGGAACTTAAGCAAGAAATTAGTCGTGTCCTCAACGAACTTGATACGGCAATGTGTGATTACGTAATAGTAAATTTTATGGAAAGAATTAGCCATATGCCCGGTATTGTTTTTCACTGTTAAACCTTATTTTCTCCTGAAGAGAATGATATATTTGTTATGTTTTTTAAAATAAATAAATTTAATTTAAAGCATATTTAAATCCTGCGTTCTTTTTGAAACACTTTAAATATTATATTAGATAATACTTGTTTACTATTTTCAATTACTGCAATAAATTATGACTACATATCATTATTAAATATGATAATTCATAGCATTTTATCATAATTCGTAGTATATTATAACTATATTATTATTATCATTTATTATCAATAATTTTCATACCCATTGCTTTGAAAAATTATGTCATTCCATAAGTTCCAATGAGTTTTTCTGATAATTTTTTAATACAAATCTAAATTTGCAATACATAATACCAATCGATAAAATACGAATGGAGTACCTATGAATTATTATTCTTTAAATCGTTTTAATAGTTATTAGAGTATGAAAACTATAATTTTAATTTTAAATTCTAAGTGAAGTAAGGATTCTATTATGATTATCATTTATCGTTAATGTTGTTTCTTTTTTTATAAAACCACATAATATTTTGTGATTAGTGAGAACATAAAATGTGTAATTTATCATTAAAAAATATTAATTTAATGATTTATTTAGTAAAAGAGTGAAGACGAATATTTGTATGTATACTAAACACCTCTTTCAAAAAAAAAAAAAAAAAAAAAAAATGAAAGTTATACTGTCAAGTGCCAATTAATACTATCCATTGAACCGATATTCTATGTATGTTATAATTTTAAAATAATTTTGAGAACAATTAAATTAAATTAAAATTTTTAAATTATTATAATTATTATACTCACACAAATTTAATTTATCAATTGCAATGGTACTAAAATTCAACAGTAGGAATAAATAGTATTATTTTAATTGTATATAACATATTAATAGAACTATGTTGATCTAATAATCTCAAAATTGATCAGAAATAATTGCTAAGCGTGGTTAAAAAATAAAGCTCTGCAAATATGAGACTTGTGTCCCAATAATTATTATAGGCATTGTATGTACTTCACCCATAAATTTAGCTCATATCTATTTAGTTAATTAATTAATTAGGTGAATTTAAATATTTGTGATTTTAAAGTATGTAAAATTTTCAAGAGGTATAATTTCAAAATCCTATAATAATTTTTAATATAAAACGTATATTATAAATACCTAGACATAATTTTTTAAATTATGAACGGTAATAAAATATAATTTATGTGGACAATCAAATTTAAAATTTGAATTAAACTATAATATATCTACTTGTATATGAATATCTTGTTTGTTTAAATTTAGTTTTATGTGTAGATATTCAATAATATTTAATTTTTTATGTTCATAATGGATAAAATACTTATTGAAATTAATTTTTTTTTTTAAAAATCCTAAAAATATAACTTTTTAACAATAGTAAATTATAGCTAGTCTATATAAATGACTTTAAAACATTTGAGTAAATTATACTGCGAGGCAAGATTAAAAATTAGTAAGTAGTTTGAATACTCATGCTTATTGAAATAACGGAAATGTAACTTAAATGTTATGCTTTACAAGTGGTATAAAAACAAATTTGATAATATAATAATGTTCCACGACTGAAACCTTGGCCTTATGATAATCGAAATTAATTGTATTCAAATAATAGATACAATTAAAATAAAAATAAAAATAGTTAACCGTATAAGATATTTTTAATTAATTATGAAAATTATAGATTTGTTACAGAACTATTTTATAATGAATAATTATTTTATTATTAATGTGCTCTTGTGGTATTGGTAGTAAGTAGGTAAATTATACATAATAAGTCATAAATAATGGCATCAAGCATACTATAACAGGTAATAAAAAAATAAGTTAATATAATATGGTACTGTAATTTAATTTAGTATTCAGATATATTTATTGAGTTTTAAGTATGCTAACATTTTATTACAATATATAATTTATTAGTTTAGTCCCTAATCCTTAACATAAAAATTAACTAAACCATACATGAATACTAGATAGTATAACATAACAGTACCTATTTATGTTTAGTCAAAAATCAAGCATTTAAACCGTTTTCTATGTATCTAGTTGAATTTAGAAAAAAATGTTAACTCTTACAACCAAATTGAAATACCAATTTGTTTAATTGATACTCGTGAACGTATTCACCTAGTTCTATATATAAAATATAATGTATATCATAGTCTGCATATCAAATTGAACCGGATATTTTTTTGTAACTAATAAAGATACCTACTATATAATTTTATGACAATTATAAATCCTTTGATTATGAGAATATTACGAAACAGTTACAATTCAATAACTTATCAGGTGTGTAAGATAAAACATTTTTTTCTTAATTTTATGAACAAAAAAGCCAAATTTATCGTTTTTTGACATAGAAAAACATAATAGTGTTCAATGTATAATATAGCCTGTCAACTTTTTATTTATTTAAATACAATAAGTTTCATTAAATATATTTTTTCTCGATAAATAAGTTAGGTATTCATTTTTTCTTACAATATAACTAAAATACGATATCAATTATTTTTATGTAGGTAGTTACATTTTTGTAATGAAATTATTTTAAAATAATATACAATGTGTATTATATGCGGTTATACAAAATTTTCTAATTTTGATAAACGTAATTATATAATTTAAAATTAATAACATTTTATAACATTTTTTTATACTTAAAAGCTTTATAAAACATATTTATGTACAATAGGTTAATACACATTTGATTAACCTATTGCTTAAATTATATATAATGTGTTCAAATATTCAATGCACCACTAATACATTATCTTAATATCAATGAAGTTGATTAATTTAAAAAACCATTGGATACATGATATAATACATAATATGTAATATTAAATAATATGAAATAAACACGATCTAAAAAAATTATATAAAAATCGCATTACAAGTATTATTCTATACCACAAGTTGAACGTCTTATATTAAACGATATCGGATATACATATTATGTATATATATATATATATATATTATATAATTATGTATAATATACATAATATGTATATCCGATATAATTTTATATAAGACGTTCAACTTGTGGTATAGAATAATGTTTGTAATGTGGTTTTTATATATTTTTTTTAGATCGTGTTTATTTCATTTTAGTATTTAATTAGAGATAAATATTACATAAAAATCGAATACCATACCAATATTCAGTTATTTATGAATAGATATTTAAATTTTTGATGAACGGAATGATGCACTAACATTTTGTGACGTATCTCCACATTAGGATTGCTATGCATCCCGGTTTGGCCAGGCAGAACCGATTTGAGTATAGAGTCCTGGTGTCCTGATGATATTTTCCAGGATAGTCAATCGTCCCGGAACAAAACTTTAATAATGCATGATAGTATTATATTAAACTTTAGGTTAAAAAATCATATTATTGTCATGAAAAAATAAAAAGCTGAATAATAAACAATTGACCGACGAAATCTGTTTTTAATTATTTTCCTGACTAAGTGACGATTATTTTAGTCAAATACGTTCTTTGTATTTCCATTCACTCATAACAGTTGTAGTTATTGTTAAACGAATAAACCATTATTTAATATTTTTTTAGTTTTAATGAACTAATCACCGTAGTGTAGTACTATAGAATAGTCATACTTCAGCCATGTTTATTTCTGACCTTTTATCCCGTGAAGTGGTATCGTAAATTCTTGGGGGGGGGATGTGGTATGCGTTATGCCAAGGAAGTAAATAATTAATAAACAAATACATTTTTGTAAAAACTGCAAGTACTTGTGTAATCATAAAAACAATAACAAATTATGACAATAAGTAAAAATGAAAAAAAAAATTCCCGGTTTTTGCCAAATAAAATATGATAATCCTTGTTTAAACTTTAAATGCTTATAAATTATTGACTATTAGTTCGAAAATTGATATTTATTTTATGAACTGAAATTTTCAGGAAATATTCTACTTGAGAATATGAAAAAAAAATCAATGTATGTAACCATAAAAAAAATTAAATAGGTTAAAAACATTTCGATAATTATAGTAAAAAAATTGCGTAATAATGACTTAAAATTAGAATGATAATGTAACCAAAAATTCAACGTATGAATTGATAAATTGAATCGCAAATAAAGTGATCGAAAATAAAATGATTCTGCAAATCAATTAATAAACATAGTATTAGAATGTCCATTCATAATTTTTAAACATAAATAAAATAATTTTTCAATGAAATTCGTACTCCGGGTTTTTTTAAACACAAAATGTTATACGTATAATCATTGGTTTTAAGTTCTTCGATAACAAGTAACATATATTTTTAAACCAAAAGTGTGATTATCTAATGTTTTCTAACCTTACATAAATTTTTTTTTTTTGTATAAGTACACAATGTAATATCCACTTAACATTTATTAATCATTTAAGCAGGTTAGGTTACATCATTAAAAATATATAAATTGATAAATAAATTATTAATTATTAGATATATATTTCTTGAATAGAATGTTTATTTCTTCATACTGATTGGATAATGTTATCTTTAAATATTAAAAGATTTACACATATTATTTTACATCTATTTTATCTTAAAATAAAAGAAAATTATAATATCACAAAAGATTATAAGCCAAATTTCGTTTTTTTTTTTTTAGGATAAGATGAAATATGTATATTCGTTATTTCTGTTAAAATATATACTTATATTATTACTATTTTAATTTATGAATCGATGGGTGATTTGATTCTCATAAATTAAATACTCAATTGACCTATAAACAAATCTTTTTCAAATTAATCTGTATAGAAAAAATATATGTATAGGTAATAGGTTATAAAGGTGAACTAAACTTGAAAAAATTTAATTAAATAAGTGATATTGCATTTTTAAATTAAATATTATAAAATACACATTTTTATTGTATCTACTACGATCAAAATTAAAAATTAAAATTTTTCCAAACATTAAATTTAATAAAAGTACAATAGTCAATAATTAATAAATTATTTATAATTAATTATCTTTTAGTACTTATATATACTTGGGTTTTATACTATTTGATGGCTATTCATCAATCACGATTTTCATTATATGGGTATAATTTGGTTATATTTATACAGAATTTTTTTTTCAGGAGGAGGGGTCACGATATAAATATAACATTTTATAGTTAACAAAATTATAAGAAGTCTTTATATATTTTGATTTAAATAATTTTTGTCATGTGACTGTGTTATAAATTATATTTTCTCTTGTTTACCTTTATAACTTACTATAGTAATTATAACTTTTATAAAAGCTAAAAAAAACTTACTATAGTAAATTAAGGACCAATTTCAAATCTGTTAAAATTGTAAATATTCTCCTAAATCTAGGAGAAAATTTCGGGAGAGTTACGACCCCTTATCCACCTCCTTGCATATACTACTATGTATAGTTTGATAATTTAAACCAGCGTTTCTCAACCAGGGGGTTGTGACCCCCAAGGGGGTCGCGAACACCTTGAAATGGGGTCGCGTAGGTCAAAAATAATAAAACGCTGATTTACAAAATATAAATTCAAATCAAATTTTTACCTAATATAGATGGAGGGGGGGGTCGCGAAGTGATTGACCATATTTTATATCTATTTTGGTGGTCGCGACACTAAAAAGGTTGAGAAACAATAATTTAAACTATACAGTTGGAAGTCCTTTTACAATATTGTGAGTACACAAATATTTTCGATTGCATATATATTCTGATAATGAATAAGACATTAAAAGATTGATATAATTATTATTTATATTAAACTTTCATTATGGAATTCCTCGAGCCGTAGTATTTTTTGGAACAAATTAATTTTTTTTCTTCAAAACTATTCATCTCTACTGCATATTCATTATTATATACGAAGTTTTACTATTTTAGATAGATTGTAAATATAAACAAATAGTTATAATTAATTACCTAGTTTACGATAACTTTACTATAAATAATAAAACATGTTTATTAATTAGTAATTACTTCTTATTATTATTTATTCAAAACTATTATTCATGCTTATTATACTTGAATCTAATATTTGAGTATAAATTTCTTTTTAAATATGGTCAATTGAAAAATGTATCGAAAACTGTATCGGTGTTGTAGCAACTGTTTCGTTGTGGTTCCTTGTGTTCACTGGGTTTGCGTGCAACTACATGATACGTATCAATCTCAATATTGCCATTGTCGATATGACTTCTGCGAAGAGCAAAGGACAGAGCATACTGTTTTGTGGAAATTCTACGTCAAATATGGATGTGGTGGAAGAACACAATGTTGTCAAACAAGTAATACTCGTAGATTTATTACAATGGAAATAATGTCAACAAACTGTGTATTGATCTATGTATCGACTAAACATATTGCATTTCTTATTATCACGTATTTTCACCGATATGACATATCCATTAATATCTTAGTATCCACCTAGTTAGTTTTTATGCAAAGATAAAAATATGTATTATTGTATTATATTTATAATCTTTCAACTACATTAAATATGTAAAAATAAAAAAATGGTTAGATGAAGTTTCGGAAGTATATACTATCAATAATTATTAATGATTTTGGCCATATACGGTTTTTAAACTTTTATCAATACAAAATGCTCATCCTCGATGCGGATATCCTTATAAAATTTTTCGAATAAAGTTTGACTTCTCTCCTCAATATAACATAAAATAGTTTTACATGGAATTAATAAATATAAAAACAATATTTACAAATATTTCATAGGTTAAAGTCCAACAATATTTTTCTTGCAATTAGCTTTTTTATGAAGATTCGTCCGTATACATTTCATGTATTCTTCATGTATCATAGTATATATAAATTTTCTGTTATACAAGATTAAGCTTGTGATTCAAATATATCCAGAAAAATTAAAGTCTGTAACGAAAAGGTTAGTTATGTCCCTATTATTTTTTATGTTTAAAAATTATAGTCCTACGTTTTAGTTATACAGAAAAAGTTTGCTTTTTAGTATATTTTAAATTATTAAATTGTACATAAATTCTCTGATTGAATTTTTGCCTTCAAATCTTGAAGGGAATATAATTCGTTCAGATTTACAATTCACTCAGATACTCATACTTTAATAGTTTATACATTTCAGTATAATTGTTTTTGTTTCGACAGAAAGAATTTGAATGGAATAACCATGAACGGGCCATGGTACTCGGCTCATTTTATTGGTTACATTGGGCGTTGCAGTTACCGGGTGGCTTGCTAGCTCGAAATTTTGGCGCAAAACGCGTATTTGGATTCAGTAATTTGTTCATGTTCATCATGTCCATCGTAATGCCATTCCTTACACGGTGGGATATCAAAGGACTCATCATGGCACGAGCGTTACAAGGTTTCATTGGCGTACGTATTTACACTTTACATTAATTATTTTATTCAAATCGATTTTCAGTTCAGACGTCATGGAAAAGAATATAAGCTTTTTCTTAGGGACACAGATCAATAGGTTGAAAACAGCTAAATATAATTTAATTTGTCAATCGGGTATAAAGGAAAAATATAATTTTTTAAATGATAATTTCAAAAACCTCAGAAAAAAAATTTGATATACTTTTCCTAAAAAATAATCCCTGCAACATAACCTTTTGTTGGTCTAATAATTATGCTTTTAATTGAAAATTGAAATCATAGTGTATATAGACAACATATATTTAAACTTTTTCAATTAAAAAAATTGAATAAATGTTTTTTTTTGTATTTGTGTTCACGATTTCAACTAGAAATGCTTTGATTATCACCAAATAATAGTAAAAGAAAGGAAATGGGTTATTTTTTGTATTTAGGGGAGTAACATTTTTTGAATTTCTCGATAATTTTCTGAATAAATAAAAAAATGGAGAACAAATTGCAAAAAAAAACTTAAATTTTCAAACGAGATTCGAGAACTTTCATCACTAATAATCGCATATTATTTTGTCATGAACTAATTTTTTTTGTTGGGTTTCTGTATAGAATATCGGCTAGAGCAATTGCACCGATCATCACAGTCATATGATATTTCTGATAGGAAATATTGTCATTTTGTTACTTGGAATGCCGTAACTTTGTGAATTTTCCAGTATTTTTCTTAACCTTAATTGCAAAAAAAGGACGAAAAAATATTAAAAAACCCTTAAAATATATGATTCACTGGTTTTCGACAAAGTCGAATTTTTATTTTCATCGTAACTAAAAAAAAAATAACTATAGAAACATAAAATGTTTAATTCTTTACTATCAATTTCTATAAATGGTATAACTTTATAAAGTTATTTTTTTAAGCTTTTTATATAAAATAGAAATGTTTTCTTAGCATTTTTCCGAAAATGTTAATAATATTAATTTGGTTTGAAAAAAGTCTTAAAATTGTGATATAAAGTTCATATATATATATATATATATATATTCATCATGATTTTATTATTTTAATAAACACGGAAAAATAAAAATTGTCTGTCAGATATCAATGATGAATGGTTTTTATAATGATTATAAAATACAATATTTTGGTTTACGGTGTAATCAAAACTCTGTAAACGTAACCATGATTAAATAACTTATATATTCTATATAAATACCTTTTAAAAATGATAGATTATAGATTTTGTATGGGAGATTATTTATTATGCTCTTTTTGATTACATACTGTGAAATTTATTACTAGCCAATGTATCGTAGCTCATAATTTTGAATAAATATAAATAATATTATGAATTATTATAGTTTATAATTATAACTTGATGCCAATAATCGTTTAGGGTATGGCATGGCCATCGGTACATCATTTAACAGCGCATTGGGTGCCACCAAATAAGAGGAGCAAATTCATCACCGCCTATTTGGGTCAGTATTCCAAATAAATGTTTTATTTTCAAATCGTTTATTATATTTACGCATATGCATTGAGTATTAAAATATTTGGCTTTTAACAACTACAATTATTATGATAAAGGCAAAGAGGTGAACCGCTGCTGCGTTTGACAACAAAACCCATAATGAAACGATGATTCTAATATAGTTTAGTTATTTATGACATTTAGCCAAATAAATATTTAAAAACAAATTAATCAAAATTCAATTATTTTGTTAAGACTTAAGTCAATATATATATATATATATATATATATATATATATATAATTTATTCAAAAAAACCTAAGTCAATATTTTATTTTTAAAAAAATGAATGGCATTAATTATTAGAACCAATACGTCAATACTTTTGAAATATATTGACACTTCAAAGTTAAAAATTACTAAATATTTTTTTGGCGTTTAACAGATTATTATTATTTATACTTTTTGACTTGAACTGTTTCCGAAGTAATCATTCAATCGTATCCAATATTTGTATCGTTTGCATTTAAAAGGCAGTTCGATCGGCGTGGCTGTTACGTTCCCATTCTGCGGATACATACTAGAAAACTTTAGTTGGCCGTACGTGTTTTACACTACCGGGACCATCGGCATCGTGTGGTTTTTGGCTTGGTGGATGTTGGTGTACGATACACCCGCTCAACATCCTTATATATCTCAAGAAGAACTCGTGCACATCACGAGCAGCCTGACCAACGTGGTGTCCTCCGTTAAGGTAAATCGTCTTTATTTTTAAAACCGTAATTAGGGAAACCTTGGAGATCGGATCCCGGATACATATTTTTTGAAGGTAGATTTCGAAAATAATCCCAACTGAATGAAAAAAACGAGCTTAAAGTAAAAAAAATATATTTTCTCCATCTTACAAAGTCGTGTAAGTAAAATTTTACATTGGTTACGATTTTGTAACTGAAATCCATTTCTTTGAAATTTGTTGACATCTTCCTAATTCTTTGAGCAAATCATTCTCTATGAGCGATTTATAATTTTTGTACGAAACCTTTTAGTATTTTCATAGGTGCTTTAGTTTCCTCTGAAATCCTTTTTACTTTCCGAATGCTCTGTTTTGTGGTATTATGGGTAAGACGTTAAAAAACCACCGACGTGTATGAATTAAATCAAATAATTATATGGCTTCATTCTCCCTGGACCTGTCTTTAGTCACCGTTCTTGTATGATACGTGTGGATTACCGTTTTTGGTTGTTCGTCATTGCTGCCTTTTGTTGCAGTTACCGATACCATGGAAGGCCGTGTTGACGTGCGTGCCGTTCTGGATTGCGTTGTCCATCCAATGGAGTACCGGTTGGGCTCTGCACACGCTCATGACTCAGACACCTACTTACTTGGACCTGATGTTCGGGTGGAATCCACAAAAGGTTTGAGCTTCATTATACTATATACAGTCGCGTCACGATAACTCGAAGTTGAAGGGGGATAAAAATTCACTTCGAGATATGTAGTATTCGAGTTGTCAAGTTTTTCAAGTTATCACGACTTGACTGTATGTATGTATAAATATATATTTCGCTTAAAAATTAGTTTCTTCTGCAGTAGCGGTACCAGATTTTTAAGATAATTAGACGGTTAAACCCACTTATTTTTTCCTCTCAATCACTAAAATTAAAAAAAAAAAAAGTCACTCTAATCTTCGAAAAATATAGAATATTTAACCATGTATACACACTTTTATATATATATATATATATATATAATATCTCCGTTAAAAAAATATTTAGATAAAAGTTCCATAACTTCACAACTAGCAATTTGCGCCAATTTTCGTTCTACGTGAAAAAATTTAAGTCGATTTCACCCTGTAAAATAGGAATGTTCTTCGCGTCACTAATATTCAACCACAATGTAATAAATAGTTTAATTATTTACATGCAACTTGTAAACGGCATGCGTTTGTTAATATTTTTTCCACAACACCGTTTTTCTCGTTTCAGATCGGCCTCTGGTCGGGCGTGCCACATCTCACCCGTTTCATGTTCTCCCTGTGCTTGTCGTACATCATCGACTCTCTCATGTCCACTGGTCTATACAGCCGTACATGCGTACGTAAAATATCAACCAACATTTGCACAGTAGTACAAGCCATACTCATTGTAGCCCTTGTGTATTCAGGATGCGACCAGTTGTTGGTAAACGGATTCCTGTTACTGGCCATGACGGCCAGCGGTGCGTCCACATCGGGCCCGCTGTCTATAATGGTCGACCTGTCACCAAACTTTGCCAGTAAATGAAAAGTTTTTTTTTTTTTTTTTGTGTTGCCTAACTTACACACGCCTTATACTTTTCCTGTAATGTTCAATAACGTCTAAAACGTGTAACTGGTCAGAAATCTAATATGTCTAAGAATGAATAATAATACTAATTAAGAAAAATATAAAAATAAACTAACGAGCTTACGCGAATGATTAAATTTAATTCTGTGGTACCACCAGTAAACTGCTTACTTACCACAAGCTATTCATGGGAACTGTATTACTTGTACGTGCAATTTAAAAAGTTAAAAACAATTATGTTCTAGATAACTTATTTAAAGAAAAAAAAACGTACACGTGGTTTTATTGTCGTCCGTCCGTCGACAAAACACCCACACACGAGTCATTATTATGTACATATTTCGATGTGTTAGGCCAGGTGGTTCCTATGTCTCTATAGTTCGTGGGTCGATGTTAGGAGACCGAAGGGTAAACAAATGTTCTTAAAAAATGTAATGGGTCTTCGGTCATTTTTAGCTAGGAGTTCGTGGCATGCTAGTTGAGAATCACTGCTTTGAAATATCAGCTTAATCTCAACCAACATTATATTTATATATACAAGGGCGCCCGCAAGGAGGGGCAGGGGGACAACTTCTCCCTATCTTTCCAGCTATTTAAAATAATTATATCTAAATTAAACATCCCAAAATCCCAAAAATCATAATTGGTACCAATGTGTATTAATATTTATAGCTGGTTACGTTCAACAATGTGTGAGAATCGTTTATCCGGATTATGTATGTTAAGTTGACACAGAAAAAAATCGAAAAACTTTATTTAGCTGAAAAAGTTATTGATGACTTTGGGAAAAATAAAATAAAATTTCGATTTATGTTCAATTAGTGAATAAAAGTGTTTGATTATTAATAAAAATTAATGCTGCCCCCCCTGAATTTTTATCTGTAAGCCCCCTTGTATGTATAACTCCCTTCATTTAGTGTTGCGTTAAAACTTAACGGTTGTATTGCGCATATTAAACACACGGACCCGATTGGCGAGCTGAAACTCCAAAAAAATTGATTAGTACAATAAAATTAATTTAAAAAATTAAATCTACAGTTATTACAGTATTGCATACATTGCTGTACCTACTGTACGGTAAATATATAAAACAATAAATAGTACAACACAAGTATGTGTGTTTAATCAAACAAAAACCAAATAACATATTGAAAGGGGGAGGATTTAGTCCATTCAAGTCCGATGGCCATAACCTAACAATAAATACCAATGGGTCAATATGAAAATAGAAAAAATAACTAGGTATTATTTGTTTATTATTAATTCTCGAGTTTTGAATGAATACGTTTAATCACTATACATGCACATGATTAAATCGTAGCTTAAATAAACATGAATTTAAATGATAAAATCAAATTATATTTGTATGGATAATTTAATTATTTTTGTCCTAACTCGTAACGTAACTAATGAAATAACAGTGAACAAAACATTAACTTATTATTATAACCAACGCCGTTCGTTAGCGGTCAGACAACTTAGTCGATTGCCCAGGGCTTTGCACATAAAATAAAGTCGGGGCCCACAAGTTAGAACAGTTAGATATAAGAGTATTTAGGTGTAAGGAAGTAGTACTGTTTTTGTCTAGTACTACACAAAAGCAATCAACGGCATTGATTGTAACCTTTAAACCTGTAAATTTCTTCCTAAGCCACTTTTAGGCATAACACATGTACGCGTACTTACAAATACGTTTTATAGGCGTGTTGCAAGGATTCAGTGGCATCACCGGCGTCATCCCGGGAATGATATCGCCATTTGTACTGTCTTACTTTACGAACGAAAACGTGAGTATATCCGTGTCCGCTCGGTGTTGTTTTCTGCCCCAGAAGAGTTGAACTTATCATTGTCGGTTACTATATTAAAGATATTTTTTGTTTAATTTTTTTTATTTCTTATCTTTCGTGTAGAACACGATCGAAGCGTGGCAACATTTTTTCGCCTTGAGCGGCGTAGTCATAGCCATTCCCGGACTAATGTACAATTTCATCGGATCCAGCGAATTACAGTCATGGAACAGTCCTGCAGCAGTCAACGACCAAGAGCTGACCGTCACCAATGGTAACACGACAGAAAAAAAATGATTTTTTTCATGCGCAAGCTAGACAATCGAACAAAAACGATCAATTGTGTATTTTTATCTATTATTTTTCTATTTTATATTGACCAATATTATAAACACACATTCATATGAGAGTTGTTTGTACATTTTAATCAATTTGATTTGAAATATTCTGTAATAATAATATAATCTTAACTATAATAATAAGCATATTTACTTTTACTAGAAGTAAGTTGTAACAAGCACTAAATCAAATGTACAATTTTGGATTTAAACTTGAAATCAAAAAGATTGCATAACCAAAGTATTTTATGAAAACTATGATCATGGTGCATGAACATTAATCGATGTATTAAGATTAATTACAACATATAATTACACATTGTATAATATATTTTAATACCAGTTACTTTAATTTTTGGTATATTTTATAAATATATTTAAATTAATGTATTAACAATAAAATGAAAAAAATAATACAGATTGTATTTTGTGTAATGGGCATACATTTTGCATTGTTAAACATCTGAGTAAAACTATACTTTTCAGTTTGAAAATATCTATCAACAATATTTTTCTTCATACTTGAAAACATATTCTAAAAGGTGTTGTTAGTTAATGATAATAGCTTAACAAATCAAATTTTTGATTTAAAAATCCAACATTTTTATACTTACCAAACAATCAAAACTAGTTTAAACAACTATTTAGGACTTTGATATAGCATATTAGATGTAAAATATAATGCATTTTCTTAAAATTCCTCATAACAACAAATATTTTGCAAAAATAATTAATTTAAAGTATCAGATGATATGCAGTTTCCAATTCACATAAGAATTATAAACACTCAAATAGAATTATGGATTTGATAAAACAAAGTCAGAGGGCTGCGTGAAGTTAGCCCTCCGAAACGAAAATGTAGTATTCTCGGAAATTGTTTTATTACAAATTGTTGGATGTTGGTTACAAATAGTTATCAAAAGGTTAGTAAATTTGGTGATAGGTCCGGATTCGATTGGACATAATCAGGGGGTCACAACTTCAGGTAGATTGGCATACAATAAAAAGCTTTACATGAATAAAACTGAAAAAATAAATTAACCCAAGAGACAACACGAGTCGATCGGAACAAAATAACAATTATACTCAATTATTAATATAACAGTAGTTTTATTGTTTTAATAAAACAAAAAAATTATCGTTAACAATCATTATAGAAAAAACTAGGGCAGTATATTAAAAAAAACTCCACATCTAAAAAAAGGTGAAAATTGTTAATTTAATATAAAAAAAGGTAAAAACTCGGTAATACTGTAATATTGTAATACGATATATAAAATTGTAGAAAAAAAGTAGCATCTTAAAATTAAAGGTTTAGAGATTTAGAGGAAAAAACACTGTGAAGGGGGAAAAAATCATAAAATTGATAAATTAAACTAGATAGTTGAAAAAAGTATTACCAAACATAAAAGGTATAAAAAAAATTGTATACGAGAAGGAAAAACAATACGGCTAAATCTCTGCAAAAGAAAAAAATTATTTATTTAAACGAAAATTATTGTTTTGAATAAAAAAAAAAAAAATGTATATGACCCAAACGTCTTCGATCTAGCAAAATGCTGCTGCCGTTTATTGGATCTACTTGACCAGATCCCGTTAATGGAAATATGCAACTAAGCGTATAGTCTCGGTGGTGTAATAGATTTCTGGTCTAATTTCACTTCCAAGATTACCGGGCCGCCGACTGGTCCGTCACTGTCCCTAGATTTCTGCGGGTACAGTACAGCGTTCGCAGAGTCCTTTTACCCGTCGATTGCGATGTCTTCGACCACACGCCCCTAAACCCTCGCCTCTTGACTCTTCCACACTTTGTGACACATCAATGGTCTTGGACAAGTGGAGCACGACTCGGGGTGCAATCTGACCCGCCATTTCGAACACACCGGTCAATCCATTCCTATGGCGGCTGAACACGTCGTCGGCGCTGAACCGCCGATTCCTGTCCCACGGCGGAGACGTGATAACTCGAAGAGCTACGCGGCCTTCCGATGAGCCAACCATATTTTCGCGGGATCCATGTTTACAGCGACCACTCTGCGGCACACATTCGCGCCAGCCGAATGGCTATGGGACCAACACCGCAAAACGGGCCGATGACAGTGCTGAAAACGTGCCTCCAGACGATGTGCTAAACGCTAACACCGATACCGATGACGGGTTAAGATGATTTAAAATTATTAAAATGATTCAAAATAAATTAAATAAGATGTGTAATGTTCAAAATACTATTTTTAATTAAAAAATATAGTTATCACAGAATAAGATAATTAAGTATACATACAGTTATGAACTAAATACAATAAATATTTCAAAAATCTTTAACATATACTTTTTGATCATTAAAATTGACAAATATTAATATTTCTGAAATAAACAACATCAATATAATAATAAAATAATAAAAATAGAAATATGTATAATTTCACAATAAAAATATGTAAATATATAATACTGTGGATTTACATAAACAATATATATATATATTATTTAGAGCTAGTTTTACTTTTCATGGTATAATCATAGACGTGTTAATACTAATTGGTCAAGTAAATATAATTTATAAAATATTAAAATTACTTGAACATTATCGGCATATGCAAGTTTATCTATAAAATAATAAAATAATATAATATATGAAAATAAATGTCACCTTAAATTTTAAACTTGATTATAATAGTATAGTTTTCAGAATTAAATGGACACAAAATATTTCAACCAGAAATTTAAGTTAACACACGTCATTTATGAAGGATCACAAATTAATGTATATTTCTAACAAAAAATTTAATTTAACAAAACAATAGAAATATATATGATATTAATCAATATAAAATATATTCAAATAAAATTATAACTAAATAATGACATATCAAGTTTTATCACTAGAAAAAGTACTTAAATTTATTTGAGATCTTACTTTACGCTGTTTTACAGAATCAATTAAAACTAATTATAATTGTTATAATTCATATCTTCCTTAATTCCCGTACACCCATTATCATTAATACTTTAATTAAATTTATTATCTGTGCCGACTTTCTAATTTAGTCTAATGTATAATATGATAATAATGGTTAATTGTAATGTTGATAATAAGGATAAAAAAAATTAAAAAAGTGTTATAATTTAATAGTAGATAAATAGTATTATTTTTTTTTTTTGATTTTTTAATTGAATATTTTTTTAGTCTAAAAAGATAGTCAAATAAAAAATTAAAAAAAAAAAATAAAGAAAAATACCTCATAAATTATAATTTTAAAAATTAAATTAATATGAATTTATAAAAAGTTATTCGAAAACTAAAATTATGATCTATTTATCAATTAAACAACCGAATCAACTATCAGTATTTATTCTTTATACTATTTACTACTTAAATTCTTTTTAAATTGAGTTAATATAATTAGTCTTGATATTTATGTTAATAAGCTAAAAATATAAATTCTGACGAAAAATAAATAAATTATAATAATAATTAAAACTTGAAAGTTAAAATCAGTATGGTTTAAAAGCATTTAGTAGTACGAATATAAAATAAATTTGAAATCAATATAAATATCAAATTAAGTGCAAAAGTAAATCATATATGCTGTTTTCTGAAATAAAAGGAAAGACAATCAAAGTAGATGTGAAAAATATAATAAATAGTCAATAATTATTAAAGGTTCAGAGGAGAGAATCATTGAATGAACTAAAATAAACTTTAAGAATGTTTAGTATGACTAAATTAGAGGTGAGTGAATTAAAAAATGTTTTTCCTTATTAAATTAATTTTAAGAAGCCATAGATGAAGTAGTATAATCAGAAGTTAGTATATAATAGTTATAATCTTTGTACCTTGGTCAGCAAGCCAAGTGAGAAGATTTGTTAATGAATTAGCCATAAGTGTTAATATATATTTTAATATTGAGACAGAAGACAGATATACATGATTGGTTGAATTAAAAATAAGTATCAGAAGAAAATTGAGAATATTGATATGAAGTCTATAATTTTGTATTTGCAATCCCTATGTGACTGATATTTACTATTAAATTATTGATTCCAAATAATGTATTGTTTTGTTATACAGTTTTGAACATAAGTCTCATATTATGTGTAAATATCGGAGCAAGACGTCCACAGTTTGTATCTGTAGTTTTGTTAAGTAAACTAGCAGCTGTTTCTAAGAGATATTTAACTGGATCACTTCCAAGTTGATACTGTAAAAAATAGACTTATTACATTAAATAATTTTATAACTAATATGTAATCTTACTTGAGACATGGCATTAAATAGAGCTCTAAATGCAGGCTGTTTTTTGGTCCGAAACGTAGAACGAGATCCGTGAAGAACAGCTACTCCATATTCTTCAGCTGACTTACAATTGCTCATATACATACAATGATCAGATCGATAGTTATATCGACAAGGGTATACATAAACCTTATCTAAAATAAGTTATATAAGTTATATTTCCATATATCAAATAATCTAACAATAAATTTACCTGGATGGTAGTGGAAAATAACATTAATAATATCTTGATCTCCCCATGTAAGGTCAAGACGATATTTTTCTAAAACAGGTGCTAGTTGACTAATCCAATCAAATTCTCTCATTCTAGTGAGATTCATTAACATAACACCAGAATTTAGTCCTAAACATTTACAAGTATTTATATTAACTGTTTCTAATTATTAAGCACAGAGATACGTACCTAATTTACCATAGTAGGGATGTTTAGCAAATCGGTTGTACCATCCAACATTCATGTCTTCATGTTCAGGTACCATTGCAGCTAGTTGAGAAGAATTCATCAAAGAAAAATGTTTCCATACATCATCTACATTGCTCAAGAACAAAGTATCAGTGTCCACATAGAGAATTGAGTCCAAATGATTTAATACTGACTAAAATTTAAATATGTATGATAAGTGACTTTAATATTTAAATAATTGAAAAAAAAAGTTTTCATTAAATTATATATTTACTGGCAAAAAAAGACGTTCTGATGCACAAGGTTGAAATAATTTTTCCCATTCATCATAGTGTTCTTTGGGAAAGATAATACTATGGATTTCATAGGAAAATGAATCATTTGTCAATAGCTTCCAATCTCGTAACTAAATAACAAGTAAGGAAATACAAGGAATTATTTGTGAAATTACACAGCCTTAACAATGCTTACAGTTTCATCAAATTCTTGTTGGATATTTTTTTCAGCAACTACAACTATTCTTAGATCTGAACTACCTCGGAAAACTATGGCTGACTTAATCATGACTAATGCTTCCGAAGTACGATTTTTACAAACAACCACAGCTATGACTACTTCTTCGTTTTTCCTACAATATTCAATAAAAATTACATTTAAAATAACACATTACATATACGATTAGGAACAAACATTCCAAAATATCTTACTTTGTTTGAAACAGTTGCACGGAGCGTGTGCTCACTAATATACTCGTTCTGAATGCGGACATGTTACCGACGTTCAGAGGAATTGATTTGTTAGGCAGGTATATACACAGCAGAGTGATGATCGAGAATCCAACAACAAACGGAAAGAGACATGACGGTCTCAGTCGAACCATCGCATTAAAACTACATATACTGTACAAGAATGCGACGAGTTTGCGCACGGATTTCAACACTGCTACAAAAGCCCGCTACGAAAACTGACATGGAAATATCCGATAGACTTCGACGAACACGGTTCTTCAATTGTCCGTGTACAAATTAGCAAAAACCGTTTTAAAACGTTATCACATTTTGACATTCTATCGCGGACGACACAATAGCGTTATTATTATAACTCACCAGACGATTTCTACTTCCGCAGTTCGAAATAAAATATACAAAACGATGCCGAACGTATCGGTCAGAACACACTTACGCCACACTGTAAACGGTAACGCATAAAGAGTTGTATTGATAACGTTCAATAAACGCTGATAGGATATGATAAACCGTTAAAAATTAACCGCAGTACACTGACCGCGTGAATTCAACGCACTGTACATTCTTTTTTTTTTTTTTTTACAGACACCTACCACAAGTTACTCGATAAGTCAAACGAAACGAATTGACAAGCCGCGCTGTGGTCGAGACATTTTTAAGCTTTATTAGTCGGGACCACCACATAGGATTGAATTTATATTATAAAAAATAAATCTGTGGGACCACGGTGTATTGTAGACATGTTATTAACATTGCGGTTTCTGGCATTAGTCGAATAAGAAGTGTTTCTCTGTTGTTAATTTTATTTTAAGCTACCCCAATTGTCCGGCTTCGTACGGTACATTCTTGGCCAAGACATAGGTTTTAATGGATTATTACACTATTTAAAAGCCAAGTTTGGTGTAACTGTTGGTGGTTATAAAACAAATAAAACGAAAGTTCAAATGGATCGGTACGTTGATTTTGGTTGTACGCTGAATTACCGTTTTTGCCGGTTCTAATATTTTTCAAAATCACTTCATATTGGAGAAAGCACTGTGTAAAATGTCAAGTTCATATGGTTTTGAGATGTAGTGATGATCAAAGAGTGAGTGGTACCCGACGTTGCCCTTAGGGGTATTACGCAGGGCCGGACTGGGCAGGCGGGATACCAGAAGTTTCCCGGTGGCCCGCTTGTTTGAATTAGGTCATTTTTAATCGTTGGGAAGTGTTTTTTTTTTAGGTTTATCGGTTTAGGCTCATTTTGTTGTCAGACATAGACGCATTTTCTAATGCGTTTGCATTAGAAACTGTCTAAAATTAAATAAACGACATTTTAATTTTTAAAAATAATATTAAGTGTTCAAATTCTCAAAATAATGTACAATAATTTTATAATATATGAAAATATACGTTGGTATAAATATGATGATTTTGTAACTTACTTAAAATAATTTAAAAATTTCAAATAAATTATATCGACAGGCTATTATTTGTACAATTTCGGACTGCACCCTTGATTTTACTGCTTTAAATGAAAATTTAGTCTCACTACTGTCTTAGAAAAGGAATATATTACATACATTATATATATATATATATATGCATTAAATTTTAAAAAATTCAAAAATACTCAAATTTCCTAGTAATTGGCATATTATTTTTTGTTTTTTAAACTGTAGTGCACACACGTTAAAACCGTAGTGCACACTTGTATGTTGTAAATTTTAAATAAATTAAATCAATTTTGTATAATTACTTTCATTTAATAATCAAATAATAATATTATAATTCAATTTTTTTTATGTTTCTTTTCAGACTGGGATTTTTTTTTTCATCTATCAAAATCAAGATTCCCTCGGGAGCCGGGAATCCTCTTTTCATTTTTATTGGTATGAATATGATAATTTTGTTACTTACTTAAAGCATTGTAAAGATCAAATAAAATGTATAAATTAAAGCTTTATGTCTAATTATTTATAAATCAAGTTTAAAATTTTGAAATAAATAATAAATCTTTATATAATTACTCTCGTTTAATATTCAAATAATAATAATTCAATTATTTTCATGTTTCTTTTCAGAACTGGGATTTTTTTATTATTTTATTGTTTTTTTCATTTATTATGATTTCTGTTGTTGGTCTGTGCACTGTATATTATTTAAACGGTAATACCTAACACTTGCTCGGACGGTGAGAAAGAATGATAAAGAATAAGTCAATTTCTGTTTGGTGTTGATTACTATAACAAAAATAAAAATAAATTAATCACAATAATAATAATAATTTATTTAACACTATATATGTAATAATGAATAACGGATCAATTGTTATATAACACAGAACTAATATGCAACGGTTTCAGTCTTATTACAATTTCTATTAATTAGGTGACAGTCTTAACTACGTATTTTCATATTTGCAACTAGGGGGAGGCTTAGCACGCCTAAATATTTATATGTGAGATACACAATTCAAATTTTTTTTAATGTGGATCATTTTATAACGAAATCAAATTACGCGTGGCTGTGAATATTGAATTGGGCTTTTTTCGAGTCCATATTAAGTGAAAAACACGCCTGGATTAAGCGGAGCAGGGGGCCCAGAGAGAGCTATATAACCCTGGGCCTCGATATTTGAAATTTATTTTGGGGCCTCAGATTTTTCAATTACTTTTTTCATTTTAGAATATAACATTGTATAAATCATCTGTAATTGAAATAATTAAATCACATTATACAAGAATACAATAATATTACGAAAATAACAATTTCATTCGTTTCAAGTCACAATAAAAATAAATGTTTAGCTTAAACACATATTTTTAAATTATATATTTGTTTTGAGAATTGTTATTAACTTACTACATTAACTTCCAAACATTACATTTTTCAGTGTTTATATATTAATTTTTTTTTGTCCATTTTTTAAAAATGTATTTTTCCAACTTAGTCATTCATAAATAAAGTGATTCAATATTTATTGCGATAAACCTATATATTATATAAATAAATAATAATATAATAAGTATATACCTAATACTTTTTTTTCGTTCAGGGACCTCGTTTAATACATTGACTCCCAGTCCCCAAAATGTCTTAGTCCGTGTTTGGTGAAAATTCAAATAAAATACAAGGGTAACTTTCAAAATCTGGTGTAGAGGGAATAGGACACAAGTTCTGCCATACCATGTGTGACGTTTCGGCCTTGTCCTCTTCTACTGGCCAAAAGGTACACTTAGTCATTGATCGATGGAAGGGCTGCTATGAAACATTTTTGGACAACAAGATTGGTTGACGAGGAAACAATTCAAAAAGGTGTTTGAAAAATCACAGCAACATAATCATACTGTCAAAGTCCACGAAAAGACAACAATTTACGGAACGCACCACGTGATTAAGGACGTTGCGATACCACCGATATCAATAAAGTATCTATACTTTTCTTTCGATACAAGTACTTTTTGTATTGATACCATAGCTTAGATATTTTACTCGTATCAATAAAAAAAAATACTGGTGTTGAATGAATAGTATCGAATCATTTACTAACCGTCATATTGGTTCAAAAATCAAAAGTGGTCGAATGGTATTATAAAATAATTCTTTTCTAGTAAAATGGTTTACACACGTAGTAGAGGATTCGCAGGGGGGCCCTAGGGATCTTTTCTTTCGATACCACGTCCTTAACTAAAACTTATACAGAAATTATTAAACGATAGAAGTGACGGAAACCGGTGACGTCATCCGTAGGAGTAGGTGTTGTTTTTTTTTTTATAATCATGTACCTTGTATCAATACACCTTGATTATAATTTTTCTATTGTTCTGATATTGTATCAAAATATTGTTTACCACGTTCTTTGGATTTTTTCTTCCATGATATATAACATAGATAACGAATTCACGAATGTTCCAGAACCTGAAGAAAAATAATATTCATTCATTATTATTTTGGTGCAGTCCGTAAATAAAAGCAAAACAACAAACATTGAGTTGAATCATAGTGGTATGATACTCGCATTACATTAAATATTGCCGTAAGTTAATCAAATAATCTTAATATATTTGCAGCTATTCGAGCGTCAAGAATTTGGAATATCATCGTGTGATTGTGCATTATAAGATAAAATTTTGAGTGAACTGTTCAAGTGTCCGAATCTTTGCTATTTAAAACCTAAAATTATTTTACAATGGTCGACTATAGCAAGTGGAAGAGTATCGAAGTATGCAAAAAGAGTCATTCTGCCACTGTAATGTCAGTCTGGTAGTGTTTTCGTGCTTCAAATATTTTTTTGTTTAGGTTTCCGATGATGAAGATGAAACCCATCCTAATATTGATACACCATCCTTGTTTCGTTGGCGACATCAAGCTCGTATTGAGCGTATGGAAGATATAAAACGTGAACAAGAAGAATTGGAAATCAAGAAAAAAACGTAAAATATTAATCCTTCTAACCCGAGTTATAAGTTTTAATTAATAATGTTATAGTTTCAAAGAGAAATATGAAGAAACTAAAAGTAAGCTTTTGGCTGCTGAGGAAGAAGGAAAAAATAAAAAAGAACTTGAAGATGCTCTAAGCGCTTTAAGTGTCGAAGAACAAGAATTAAAAAAACGAGAAGAAGAGTTTAAAACCAAGGAAAAGGTTTCAAAATCTGATTTAAAACATATTTTTTATTATATTTCTTAAAGTTTTAAAATTAATGAACATTTTTTATCAGGTTATGCCTTGGAATGTTGATACAATAAGTAAACCGGGTTTTACAAAGACTATTGTAAACACGCCTAAGCCAGTACCAAGTGAAGAAAATTTGACTGAAGAAGAAAAAGCTAAACGATTAGAAGTGTTTATTAGTGAAAATAAGAACAAATTAAAAACATTTGGTATGTTTCAAAAATATAAAGACAGTCAAGAATATTTACAAAAGAATCCTCAACTTGTATGTGAAGATACTGCAAATTATTTAGTTATATGGTGTATTGATTTACAAATGGAAGGTGTAAGTTATGTTTAATATTAGTATTACTAAAAATAATTTATACTGGAAAGACAAATTGCTGCTGTCATAAAATCATAAATGAAAGTATGAATATTTTAATAATAGTTTTTTCACTAAAAATATTTAGTTTAAAAATGTTGGCCAAATTTAAATAAATATTTATTACTGTACCTACTATGTAAAATATAAATAAAATGGTTCTATGATTTATATACTTAAAAAATAACAATGTAAATACATTCTTATAAATGAATATGTATGAAATACATTTTAATTTATTACAAATTTTTAAATCAATTGAAATAAAAAAATAAAATAAAAGTTCTAACTTACCTGAAGTATAATTTATAATGTATGCAAATATTGATAATCAGTTTTGATTTAAAAAATCTTCAGGTATTTATCAAAGCACTGATGTAAAAAGAAAACATAATGCTTGTTTACATTTTTACATGGAGAAATTTATTCTAATTAGAGAAATTATTAAAAAAAAAAAAAATAATTTGACATAGAAATTAAAGTGTTATTAGTAATTTCTTGGTTATTTAATATTATCCAAAAAAATATTTAAAGAGATTAATACTATTAATAATTAAAAAAAATTAAATTTCTTTTTAAATTAATGATACTATTTCATTTAATTTTGATTTTATGTCTTCAATATATATTTTATGTAATACTTCTAACATTAAATTAATACTATATTATTTTGGTTGAATAATATTTTCATTTTTTTTTTTTATATTTTGAAATATTTAAAATAGTTTGAAAATATATCAATATTAAATGTATTTAATCGCCTGTGTAAATAACTTTTTTAACTGATTCTGTAATCATGCAATAATCAGTAATAGTATTGATGCAATCATGAATAAATACATCTTTTAATTTAAATATATTTTCTCGTTAAGTACTATTTTTTCAATTTTATTATTATTATTATTTTTTACTTATAAATTTATATTTATTTACAGAAATCAGATCTTATGGAACATGTTGCACATCAAACAATTTGTATGCAATATATTTTGGAACTATCTCGGCAACTAAATATCGACCCAAGAGCTTGTGTACCTTCTTTCTTTTCAAGGTGTGTGATACATTTTATATATTTGTTTCAATAATAAAAAGGTAACTGCCACCAACCAAAACTGGTTGTCGTTGCGCAGGTCCCATCACATTTTTGTAAAAAGCCATATTGGTTGAGTTGCTGACATGAACCATTGATTAATATTGAGGTTATGTTAAGAGGATTGCGTGAAACGAGACCTTTCTTTTGTGGAAACTTGTATAATTTTATTAGTAATTTATTTATTAAGTTAACTTTATATTATTTTATTTACTTTTATGATACAATTTAATTACATAATAATTATCGATTAATGTTTATAAAAATGCTAAGCAATTGTATTGAATGTGATGTATTAGTATTTCTAATCAATGGTGGTATATTGATAATGTTCATAATTCATTATTTGTTGGAAAATTAATTGAACTAAAAGTAATTAACAATATTTAACATTATTTATCAATTGATCATTGTATAATAATTTTTTTCATTACAATTCGATAGCACTGATTTATAAAATTAATTAATAAATTAATTTTATAAAGTGTGTGATTTGGATGGACCACTGTGAATAGTGTCATTGATTTTACTGCCTTATACCTAAGAACTTCAGTATCACATACAAAAGAATGTAATATGTTACAAAATAAAATATTAATACATGATTTTGTTGTATTTGTTAAGAATTCAATTGGCTGAAAAACAGTACAAAGATTCATTTAATGAAGAACTTATGATGTTTAAAGAACGTATTAGAAAGAGAGCGGATGAAAAAATACGCATCGCTCAAGCTGAAATAGAAGAAGAAGAAAGGCAGGCAAGGTTAGGACCGGGTGGTCTTGATCCAGTTGAAGTTTTTGAGAGTCTTCCTGATGTAAGTCAATTTGTGACAGTTTTTTTATTTGGTGGATATTTAATTGGTTAATGATGTTTATTTTAGGAATTGAAAAAATGTTTTGAATCACAAGATATTCAATTACTACAAGATACAATTAAAAACATGAACCAAGAAGATGCAACTTATTATATGAAACGTTGTGTAGATTCTGGATTGTGGGTTCCAGATGCCAGTGCTGTGGACAAGAACAGTGCTGGTGATTATGATAAGACACAAGAAGAAAACGTTTATTCAGAAATAAATAATTCATAAATAGCTCTTATATAATCTTATTCATTAATTAATTTATAATTATTAAATATGATAATACAATTTTTTTCAAATTCTATCAAGTTTATCTGATCCACAAACAAATATTAATTGCATATTATAATAGTAAAAAAAAATTAATCTAATGTTGATTACAATTTATACTGACATATAGTAATACATATAATTATATTGTTTATATTAATTTGTTCCTGATATTCCAATATTTTAACCTCTATTTCATAATGTACACAGTTATTATGTTTTTTTATCATTTTTTTTCTTCGTTACTGTTACTATCGCACTGTTTTTGTAAAAATGGTAAAGGTATAGGTATTGGAATAGGTATTGGTATTGGTAGCATAATTGGATATGGCACTAAAATCATGGGTGGTGGCAACAGTGATGGTGGCAAGTTTAACGGGTAGAGTGGTGGTGGTGATGCATTACTGCTTGGTGTATTATTATTTGATGTTTGAGATTGTGTGAACGCCGGTTCACATAGTGGTGGCGGAGTACAGTAAACCGGTGTATGCGATGGAAACTGAGGATAAACATGGGGTGGTACATCTTCGGCCGTGGTTCTTTTTCGTTTTCGAGATTGGCGGTCAAAAAGTTTATTAGACACTCGTAGCTGAGGAACTGCTGGGCCTGGTGTAGAAGGGGAATGTGGCCTTTGGGGAGACTGTGACCGGTCTGCAAGTGGTGGTGAATGACAATCACGTAGCCACAAGTCAGGTGTAATAAGTGGCAAGCTGGGCTCCAAGGTTTTGTAAAGGTTTTCTGGTAGTAACGCGTTCTGTAGATGAGGGTGAAGCTCCAACTGTGCTTGAGTTTCTTTACAAAATATGTTCATTTTATACTGGTTTAAACACTTATCACTGCGAACAGGAAACATCATATATTGGCGGGTACCATACAAGTGTTAATCAAATTAAAAACTCTTTACGTTTGTCACCTGCAGAATTGTAGTTGATGATCGCCGTCTTGGAAGTCCACACAGTTGACCGTGTGTCTCAGATGTCTGCACCAGTCGCACGTTTTATTTCGCTTGAAGTTCGCTCGACGGTACTGCGAGAAACATTGTTCAGAACAGAACACTTTTTCATTATCAGATTCTGCCGTGCGGAATGTTAATGCTTTGGTCTCTAGTGTTATGTCACACCATCCGCACATCATTTGTTGAACTGATGAATCTGTATAAACCATCGAATAACTATAATATGTTTCGATATTAAAACAAAGTGCGCGCAGCTTGGGATATTTATAAATTGTGAATTAATTATATAGATCAAATTAAGATAATTTCAATTAACTCAATAATAACTTGGACAAAAATTTATACAGTAAGATTTATAACTAATTGTTGGGTCACTTGTGCTAAGTCAGCTCACTAATTTCCTATTGTTTTACTTTGTCAAGAATTTATGTAGGTATATGTTGTATACATGATTTTACGGGTAAAAGGAAAATATTTACTTCCCAATAAATCCGAATTAACGGATGGTTGGAACCCAAATGATACGTTTGATTTGAACAGGCGAGTTGTCTCACCTATATAACGAGTGGTGTGGCTAGGATGTTTCAAACTCTATACCAGTGATTCCTTAACTTTTTTGGGTCATGCATCCTCAAAAAAATAAATTAACCACACCTTCCAATAAATTTTTTTATTATTTTAATGTAAGCTGATTATTTTCGATCAAATAATATATGGTAATGCAATATACAATATTAATATTTTCCGCGTGTCTCACAGTTTGGTAACCACTGTCTTAAACAATGATCCTCTGGCCCAACTACATAATATGTAGTGTGATCATAATTTCAGGTACCTATCACTAAATATCTCAGCTAGGTGACCTTTTATTGAATTTAATATTTCGGAGGGCTTATCCCCTATAATTCAGAACCCCCTTCTGAAATACACATTTTTTAACAATTTTCAAATTTTTAATTCTTGCGGTACACGCATGCGCAGTACAGCTTACTTTTTTTAATGGCACTCATCATTTTCTTCCAACATATTTTGATTTATACTTAGACGTTCCTAATTGTCACCTTCACTCGTTTCAAAATCAGATACAATCTAGTTCCCTACCACTTCTACCGTCGTTCCTTAAATTCGTCTTCTATTTATACTCTTCATTATGAAGAAGCTACTTGTAATCTAAATTACTTCTTATTTAATTGCTCTTCTCTACTTTCTAGTAGACGTCTCATTTTTTACAGCCCTGGATTACCTCCGTCCAGATATCCATCTTCTTCTTAATTCTCGTTCACCCACAACCACCAAAGCTTTCATTCAATTTATTATTAGTGATGGCTTTCTAAATTAATTTTATTTATATCATAATAATGATTAATTGTATAGCTGTAATGTTACCGATAAAGGCAATAAAAAAAATCTATTAGACGCACAGAAGCATATATGGGATATGCAGTCGATCTAATATAGTTGGCGAGTAAATAATGACCATATATTATTGACGTGTATTTTTTTCAGTTATGCATATAATATTTATTTATTCTTTTTTGTTAGTATTGTTGGGTGTTTTTAACTGTTGTTCGATGCAGTTCTAATGCCAAGATCTCATACCATGTATAGAAAACAAAATATGAATTCAACCTTAGCACAAGCGGGACAAACACAATCTAAACAGTTTTAAAAACGGAAACAAAACAAAAACTAGACCCGATGTGGATCTAGTATAATATGGACGTTTTTATAGCGAAAAACAAGACTGTATTTGCAGCAAACGAACTATGTACGCTCTATAAATTATACGTGCTCTTCATGTACGTCACACATACGTAATACGCATGCACGTGCAACACAATCGCAAAATAAAACTGCTTACGCGACGAGTGTGTATAATTATATAAACACATGCATACGGTGAGCAGTGACGTATATACAGAGGGGGTTTCCCGGTTCAAACCCCCCCAGGGCCAAAAAAAAAAAAGAAAACTGTTTTATTATTGATGACTTGTAATATATTCGTAGTTTTATTATTACGTTTTGAATTTAAAATATACAACTATACAAATATTATGATAATTAAATGATTATATTGATAGGTGTTTGAAAAGTTTTGTTAACCATGCTGTTTTTATATTCCAATAGCTATTAATTTACTGTAATGTAAAAGTAAACTGTAAATTGGTAAAAAAAGTTGTATAAAATAATATCTATTTATAGCAGTTATTTATCTGTTCAACGAAAAAAAAAGATAATGATTATTTTTGTTTTTCCCCCCCCCCCCCCCCCCCCGATCAAGATCGAATGTACGCCACTGACGGTGAGTATGTATTGTGTTGAACTTAAAAACGCACACGCCGTTGAATATTCTCTAAACACGAATACATCGTCGGATGCTGCAGGATCATGTGAGAGATGGGCTGTACTCTTTAGAGATGACCCTTATTTCCGTTATATGAGACATCCGAGAGCGCTTTTTACGCCCGAACAATATTGTATTACGTCAACGGCGACAACGACGAGTCTTTGTTGTGTCGCGACGCGCCGTCGAGCTCAGTTTTCGGAGATATATATATATATATATATATATATATATATACACACACACACGTGCACACGCTACGTCGTAAAGCACACCATGTAATATTCGAATACTACACTTATTACTGTTATAATCATTGCAGTCGTCTCGACGAATGAGCTACTTTACATTCACTGGCTTCGCATGTTATGTTTTTGGTCGATACCAAAAATAACTATAACCATGCGCATGGTAATACAGCACTCATCGTAACAGCGACACATGCACACCGTAATATATTTATGCTCGAAGACAAAATACGAAATAGTTTATTAGACGCTATTACGATGTTATAATACATACATATAAAAATGTGTAGTACACACAACCCAGACACTGTAGATTGGTGCGATCTGGAAGAGACTTGATCTGCTTATAACCTTAGAACCTCCCTCTCCCAAATTTTAAATATAGCGTCCTTAAATTATTGTTGTTGTGTTAACAATAAGATTTTCTAGGCACCGTAAAATGTATTACAAATGTTTTGAAAAATGAAGTCCGGTGTAATTTATCTATTTATAATCATTTTTTCTTTAGAATAAACATAAACGTACTCTGGCAGGGTATAGGTGTTTCCTATTATAAATAATAAATATTTAATTAATAATTTTTCAGATTAACCATCGAAATGATTATGGTTACGTTTTAAATTTACTTGCAATATCCTAATCAGTGGTTGAATATAATGGGTAAATGACTCTACAAGTTTGTATCAGTAATTTTTCGTGGAAGCATTAGTATCCTCAGATTTTTCTTAGAAATTGCACCCCTGCCGTATTCATTGTCGTTGGCGTGTTGTTTTTAACGCTATCAAAAAAATATGAACCATGTACAATATAAAGTTACTATAAATAGGGCACATGATTGATTTTTTTTACATTTACCTTTGAATAACTTTCATTAAAAATTTGAATTCAATGTTTTATAGATCTGAAGATACACTAAAAAAAATTCAAAGGGATATGGGCTCGACTTAAGTATATACCTGTACGCTTTGCAATTATGTTATTTCCATACAAAATAATAATTACTATAAATCAGAGGTATAAAATGATAGGTATTCGTCAAAAGGGCTGTAATACAATTGCGCCTCTCCTACCTTTCTATACGAAAAAAACACAACATGATTGCGCCCAGCTAATTAGCTCGATAACACCCGGTTTTACCTTTTTACCTATAAAAAATGCAAATTACCTCGATAGCACTCCATGAAATATAAGGTCTTGACTTTCAAACAATTTTCAAACATAATATTTAAAAATACAGTCGGAGTGTAAAACTCAAAGTTTAAGTTAGGTTAGATTATCATTTTAACAATTTTTCTTTCCAACACAGGCTTTATGTCCTATATGACTGAAAACACATATTTATTTATTTACATACTATAATACTATATGATAACTTGCCATTTTAGTAAATTTATTATTATTATTAGTTATATTGTATGTGTACGAGTAGTAAGCACTCCATATCGAAATAATATTTTATTATTAATTTATCTTATCTGTAAATATCTGTGGTATGCATTACACTCGGATTTTAAATTTAAACTTCAGTTGACTGTTGGTTGTTGTGACTTGAGTTGATTTTTTTTTATAAAGTTTTTCGTAAAGTGTGATATTGTGAAATTAACAAGTGTAAAAATGGATTTAACTATTTAAAAAAATTTTGATACTGAAAAAGGTAAGCCATGTATTTTAGTTAATGATATAAATATAGAGAATATACAGTACTTAAAAACATAGACAGTATTTGATATCGGAGTAATAACATAAAATGTCCATCGAGTATTTATATTGACAATGATGTGACAAAAGTTCTTAGCGTACTCAATGAACACAATCACAACATAATTTTAGAAAACATAGTTTGAAGACAAATAATAAATTCCAGAATAAAAAGAAAATGTGAAAACGACTTATTTACGAGACCGAATAAAATAATTACACAAGAACTAGGTACGTAGTACAGAAAATGATTTACATACCGTTCATTCTGATGTTAAGTTATGAAGGAAAAATATGTATGACTTCCGTAAAAAGAAATTATCAACGATTCCAAAATCACTGGAAGAATCGAAATTGAAAATATTTAACTTACGTGATACTCTTAAAACTAATACAGGGGTATATGTTTGCCCAATTGAAGAAATTTCAAATAGTTATATTCACTAGTCCGACTAATCTTGATGTATTAAGTCGTTTGGCTCATATTTTTACTGATGGCACATTTTCACATTCCCCAAAATTCTACGATCAACTTTATACAATACATTCGTTAGAAAAAAGTTTTTATGTTCCTTAAATTTACTGTTTTATGACGTCAAAATCAACGGAAGCTTATGTAGATATGTGGCGTACGATTACAAAATTATGTTGACAGGCATAAATTAATTAATATCATTGGCTAATTCTAATTTTCATTTTGATTTAAAAAAAAACGCACAAAATGTTATTAAATAAGTCTTTGCAAATAGTAAAATTATAATCTGTAGATTCCATTTAGGTCAAAGTTGGTTTTGGAAAATTCAAAGCAATAACAAATTATTAAAATAATACAATTCAAAATTAGAAATAGGTTTTTGGTTAAAATGTTTTTTCGCTCTTGGTTATTTATCTGAAAATGCGGTCGGCGATACTTTTTCGTGTTTAATTGTAAATGCTCCAACCGATAACTTTGATTTTACGGAATATATATTTGTCAATTATATATACCCTGATGCGAATTTTCCACCAATTATATGGACTGATAAACCTTCAGAAGAAGCTAAAACGACCAATGGACCAGAATCATTCCACCGACATTATAAATCACAGTGTTTTATACTTCACATCCTTCTATTTATGAAGTTATTAATATATTATTAGACATCCAAAATGAAACTTATTTAAAAATTAAAAGTATTAAAGAAAATCATATAAACAAACCTCGAAAAGAACAAGAAAACAAATTTAAATTTATAATGCACACTTGGACAAAATTAGAATAAAATGAAATTTCTATGTTAGAATATATGAATAAAATGGAACCACAATTTTGTGCCACAAAATTGTAATTAGTAGCTTCGTGATTTATTGAGTTATTTCATGTATATATGGACAAATATTATAATTAAAAAAAATGTAATTTATTAGTTTTCGTGGTTTTATATATTACGTATATTTGGACAAATATTATTATTTTATTGATTAAAAAAACAAATGCATTAATAGTTTTAAAAAGTATATGTAATGTGTACCAATATATCTATGAGAAACAATTTTTAACCAAGCCAACAATTTAATTTTGTTATCAGTCCTAAGCAGTGTTGGGAATAGATAATGCAAAAATTATCTAGATAAAGATGGAAAATAATATGTCCAAATTCATCTAGATAAAGATAATTTCATTTTTATTTAGATAAAAAAAAAGATATTTTGATGTCTGGGGTGTTTATTAGCATATGTATCAACTACTTCTTCAGGTTTTATAATTATTTCAGGGTGTATATTAAGCAATGCTAATCCATTTAATCGATAGTATCATATTATCATGATACTATACTATACTGATATTCCAGTATTTCACCGTGTACCTGTGCGTGAAAAATAAAAGGGCCTATAATAATAATTAAAGTATAAAATACAGTGAATGGGGGAGGGGCACGGGCCCCATGGGCCCACCCCTTAAATAAGTCCCTGATTATAATCATTATTATTAATAGGTACCTAGATGTTTAGTGTTTATTGGAGTAATGTAGTGTACTATTAAGCAGTATTTATGATAACGTACAATATTTAATGACAGCTAATCTCTAAAATGTTACACAAAAAAAAAAAAAATTAAAATTGCTCTGTACGTATCAGGATGAATACAGAATATATAAAAAATTATTTTAAGTTAACAATATTGTTTTCCATATAAAATTAATTTGATGATTTTCATTATTTTATGAGTAGTTACGACTTTATGGTTTGCAAGAGTGAAGTAATGACTATTCAGCGTATGAGTAACATGTGTATACTAAATTCAAATACCTACTATATTTGGAACTTCCATGGAAAAATATGAAATCAAGTTTAAAAATACCAAAAATATTTTCCTGACATGAAAATACAAACAAAATGTCATACCAAGAAATAATAATTACTTATTAATAATACACGAATTATGATTATGAATACAAAATCTATATGTATAAAAGAAAGTCAGGTTATTTACAGAATTTATAATTCAAGAACGGCTGGACCGATTTTGATGATCTCTGATTTGTTGGATTCGTCTCCGTACAAGAATAAAAATAACTCTAATTTTGGCAAGAATACAGACAATTATCTAGATAAGTAAAAATGTTATCTTAGATAAGTAATTAGATAACTTTACGTTATTTATCTAGATAAGATAAAAGATGACAAAAAATCTATCTAGATAAATTTATCTAGATAAATCCCAACACTGGTCCTAAGCCTGTAAAATTGAGAAGGAAAATTGTTAAAATGATAATCTAACCTAACATAAACTTTGAGTTTTACACTCCGACTGTATTTTTAAATATTATAATATAAGACCTTATATTTCACGGAGCGCTATCGAGCTAATTAGCTAGGCGCAATCGTATTGTTTTTTTTTATATAAAATGGTAGTAATCATGTTTCACCGCGTCAAGAGATTCATGAGCTCTACCGATTAAAATGCAAGATGCGTAAGACTCATGGGCGTGCGCAGAGTTTCAAATCAGGGGCAGCGAATTTCATTACCACCTTAATTTTTTTTTACAAACGGTCTATACATGACTATTTAGCTTATTTTTTTAAATTTTTCCTCAAAGACAAATTTAACCATTGACCTCTGTTGATATCTTGTATATAATAGTACATCTTCCCATAAAATATATTAATACTTTAATAACACATACCTATTGAAACACAGAAAATATTAGCTTGGTAATTCACTTTTTGAATAACCAACTTATTTTTTATTGAGCATTATACGGCACAGCTTGGACTGTTCAGTTCTTAAAAATCTTTTTAAATTGTTCAGGGACAGAAAGAGCACACCCTACTGCTCCTATGGTAAGACTGTAAGAGTAAATAAAAAAAGGCTCTTATGTCATCATATGGCTATCATAATAAAAACCGAAGGGTTATAGCGTTTATAGTTTAAAATAAATCGTTTTTAAATTCCATAACGTGGAAACTTTCTAATTGATAACACTGAAAATAATTTTGTGTAATCGTTCTGCTATTTAAGTTACCATATTTATTTATGTGGATATGTTTTATTGTTAGAAATAGTGTTCAGAATACCATGTAAACAGAAAATATCCATCTTTGTTTATTCTCTCGCTTTTTCTGACTTTAAATAAAATATACTTAATTGGGGCAATTATTTACGTTATCAATCAAGTTCTATGGCCGCTGTTATTACTGCAACATTATTGAAACGGAATATTACGAATTTATCATATAACATAAGAATATTTGCATATTTTCAAATTATCTATAAATTATAAATATTGTAAAAATGTGTCATTTGTAAGGTTAGTTTTTTTTAAATATTAATGTTATTTATGTTAAATCAATTATAATAATAATTCTAGAATGTATTATTAATTAAAATAAATTACTCGGCACTGTTGTCGGTGATTGCGGACAGTTGTATTCGTCCGATGAAGTGTCTGATTCTGTGCTTTTGGATCGATCTCTATATTTTTCTCTGATTTTAACTAGATTCATACTTTGTAGCGAACAGTCTTTAGAATTAATTTTATCATATCCATACCAGCCGAGCATTTCATTCATTGTCGTTTTTACATACTCCTACAAAATATATTATAATAGTATAAGCAATAGAAACAAAGGTTACATGTGATATATATATATATATATATATATATATCATTATTATATGTACCATTGATTATAAATATAGTATTATATATTATTTATAATCAATGATAGTATACATATTTATGTATGATGTCTATAAAATATATTGTAATGTTAATACTGATAAGTGATAACTGATATTATACACTAATGTTATTTTTAAGGTTAATTTATATATAGAGTACATAGTAACTGTATATTTAATGGTTTTTTGTAATATGTATTAGTTGTAATTAATAAATGATTAATTAATAAAGAAATGAAGTAATACATATATAATTTAAGTAATAATATTTACTAATGTTGCTATTATGTCAGTTATTTCATATGTGTTGTGAACTGCAAAAGCTGTTATTTAAGTACTGTATTGGGAAAATTATGTGGTAATATACGAAAAACTATATATTTTGAAGTAGATGAAAATGTTTAAAAAATCAAATTTAGTTTACATAAGTATAATATTTAGTGGGGTTATTTTGTGGCTAGGCCACGACCGCGTCCGGTGTCCCCGGACGAATTTATGTCGAGGGTACCTTATTTCTAAAGAATAATAAATTATCATAATAATCATTATAATTGATATTTTTACAATCAGTTTGATATAGTTGTAATTACTGACGGCCTGAAGTGAACTAAAAAAATTAAATTGTACAATTTGTAGATCATTTAAACAAATATTAAGTTGTATATTATAGGGTAATACATATTTATATTATTTATTTAACATTTTAGTATTATAATATACTATTTAACTAACTTAATTGTTCGTGTATTTTAAATAAGGCACCATTGAAAAATAATATTATTTTGCACTATTATAAACTCATTTTTATCATTTTATCATTTTATAAGATGACATTTTTTGGAGACCCTTCTGAAGAAATGTATTCGGGGCCCTTTAAGTACCAGGGAACTTATTCTCGAAATCTGCCGCATTTGACAAAAATAAAACTCGATCGATTCGTGTTTAATGGTATTCTTGAAATAAGATGTAACATTACTCACATGAATAACGTTCGACATTTTGTCTATTGCCTATTTCAACTTCGTCATAATTAATTCGAATGATTTTTTTATTTGCTAGCGCTATAAATTCAATATATTTATAAACATTAAACTGTAGAATAATTATTAGAGATTAGTAATTTTTAATTTTTCGTTTGCATTAAATTTACAATTCGACATCTAGTTACTAGTTAGTTTTTAATAAAAGTTAAATTATTGAATAATTATAAAATGCAAATGATTACGAACAAGCTGTGATGTTTGCTATGATAAACGATGAGAGATTAGGAGCTTTGCAAAATTTTGGACAACCGTTTGATGTTAAGATAAATCCTTTTTTTGTATTGTCGGATACAGAATTTGTCAAAACTTATATATTGAGTAAAAACTGGACAAATTATTTAATCGAGTTAGTCACTTCGTTTATAGAACCGTTAGTATTTTATAGAATGTTGAAGGTGTCTACCAGTACACACTACTTGAACCTATCTACTAGTAAAAGTCACAAAATAAAGTAATTACAATTTACAGTCTACAGAAATAAGTAACGAAGAAATTAAAGTATATACTGTGTTATTAATATTTTAATAACTATCCGATGATAATACGATAAAATTTTGATTAGTATCAATACAACATATTTTGGCGGAAATATTTTTGATATAAATGATAATAAATCATTATTATGTTCTACCAATGTGGTTTATTCGACAAGATTATGATTTATCGATATATTCTCAAATACGACTAATTTTTGTCGGTTGGCATTGGAGAATAGCCTTCTGTAGTCGACTACGACAAAATCAATAAAGTTTATTCGTATGCGACTTCCTGTCGATCGATTTCGAGAATAATACCCCAGACCCAGGGGCGTATTTAGGGGGGTGATATGGGTGTTGGAACACCCTCCAGCGACTGTATTTTATGATATTTCACCAAATTGCAAACTTAATTACAGTATAATTGAACTAAACGTAGGTATATGTAAATATAATCATTTTCATTAATATAATAATTTATATAAATACATGGTATTTATAAATGTTAGGAGTAGGGGAGGGGCAGAACCCCCACTTACTATAAGTCTATTAAATTTTAAAACACCTCCATTAAATGAATCCTGGATACGCCACTACCCATACCAACACTGCTTTGACGTCAAAATTTCGAAATTGATTTAGTTGACTTAGAAATGACAAGTTAATTTAATTTATTTTTATGATCATATACAAAAAAAAAAAAAAAATGATATTATATTTTAAAAATGATTAGATATTTTTATTCTTTCTTAAAGAAATTCAAAGAATGTAAAATTAAAATTGGAATCTTATATAAGATATCGGGGTAAATTATATAAATCAAATTCCCTACGAAAACTCAAAAGCAATAATTGGATTACTATAATATATCGTATTCGAATATAGTGAAAATAATCGATTAAATTAAAAATACCACAGAGAAACGGAAATATTAATTCGAGTAATTACTGAATAATAACTCATGCACTATTTGTTGTATACTTGAAACATTAAAAATATAATTTTTAAAATAAATCATAATATTTTGTTGAATTTTGTAATAAAAACAGTTTATGACATTCCGTTACTTATATTTTTTTGTTCTTTATATAAAATATAGAACGGCAGATATGATATTATGTGTCTACTGAGATTTAAGTCTTATTTGATTATAAAATTAGTCGTATAGCTGTAGTACAACGAGATTTCTACATTTTCAATTTATTCTCGAAATGATTGACGCTTCGCTACATAATAATAGTTATAAAAACTAATATAATTAAAGTGGACTTTTTAGTAATTTTGAAAACACGTAGGAGTTAAAAAAAAAAAAAAATTAAAATGTCTGATTCGTTGTCGAACAAGCCTGGTGAAAGGAGTAGGTGGATATGATGTGTGTCGGTCACCATATATTTTGGTTTCAGAATTCTCGAAATATAATTTTGATGGTATGAGCATGTTGCAAAAGAGAGAAACAAAAATGGATTGATTAAAAGCTGTTTTCGTTTTCTGCTACAGACATTTTACTCTATACTCCGCGTTGTCGCCGTCCCAAAGGTAGTGGTATTGGGTGACATACACAGAACGGATCGGGTGAAATAATGAAATATCACGTGTTATTGTAAACCCTAAAGTGAGGACACAATAACTTGTTATATACCTATATGTAACTATTATTATTATTTTTATACTTGACGTAAATATCTACACCGCTTGGCCTAGTTGTTGCAGGAAATGCAAACATTTTGATGTGATTGATATTAGTGGAAAAAGAAATAAAAAGCCCGTTTAACTGAAAAATGTGTCAAATTAATTGATATTGCTTTTTCCCCCAATTTCTTTGTTCATGGGCCTGTATTTAATAGCCTATACATAGATATATAACGACGTGAAAAATATATGGTCAACGGAAACGACAATGCTGCAGCAAGGGATTTTGGATGGATATAAATTCTATAACCGTCCATTGATACTTAATCTTTCGCTAACCCATTCAAAAATTATAACTTATATATTAAATAATCCAACTCTCAATTTAGATTTTGAAATAACCATTTTATTATACGCTAAGAACGTAGACTAGTTAACAAAATCTCATTCGCCTAAGAAGAAAACCTACTGTAATGAAGCCTTTCTCGACTTCTCACTAGCGTTCACAGGGTATGGAACGCAGGTTTACTATATAAATTTAAATAATAGATACCTAGTCACTATCATCTAATTCAGTGTTTCTCAACCTTTGTATTATGGCGACACACTATTATATTTCATACTTTATGACACACAATAATAAAAATAAGAATAATGGGTAATATTAAATATTCATAATTAATTGATAGTGTAAAATATAAATATACTGTATAGTATGCACTGTTTAAAAATAAATATTGATAAACCAACGTTTATCAATTAGAATTATGATAATGATAACATTTATTTAATGTCGATAGCTGATAATCTATTTTTATTCATCACAGAAATCATATCAAATACCCATTAATTTTTTTAAATAGTCTTAACAATATTTATACATTTATATATTTTGTGTCATTCAATATTATTACTTTACGCGACACATTTGGATTTAACCGGCGGCACACCGGTTGAGAAACATTGATCTAATTCTTAAACCCTACTTAGAAGACAGATTATTTTTAGTGCGTGTAGGCTCCGTCATTTCCTTTCCGATAAGAATTAATGTTAGTGTTAATGCTAGCGCAATTGCTACTCTACTATTTTTCAACATATTCATCTCTGATCAACCAAATACTAAACAACCTTTAGTCGGCGATTTTGCGGATGATGAAGTCATCCTAGCAAGCAACAAAGGTCTCTATTTATTTTCTCTGTATGTCTAAAATAATCTCAATCTTCTCGAAACCTGGTATAGAGAAAATTAATGAAAACAAGTCTATCCACTGTACCTTTACTCTCAGTCAAGGTATATGTCGGACACTTTTCCTCAATAATCAATGTCTACCTACATGCCAATTTATTCAATACCTAGGCATTCACATTGACCGCCGACCTACTTGGTTACCACACATTAAAAACAAAATTCTATCCTTAATAGGACCAGGAATTATATGCACTAATAACGTTCGAAATATGCATACATTTATGCTCTAATTATCATTGAAATATCCACTTATAATAAATAAACAAAATGCAAGTTTATTAAATTAATATATTTTAAAAATGTAAATAATTAATTAAATAACTAATATGGAATAAATAAATGAATTAAATACGAGTATCTTGTTGAAATAACTGAATTTTAATATGTATGTTGAATTGAACTTTATGCTAAATTTTGAAATATTTTGATTATATGTTGGATAATAATTGTTAAAATTTCGATTTACTTTTCGATTAACAGCTCGGATGTGTTGATCAGTTTTCAAATAT